GGGCGAGTGGCGGGGGAGGGGGGGGGAGGCTGCTGGCGGAGGCTGCGGGCCGGCAGCTGAACTTGCATTGCCCAAGAGCTGCAGTGAAGCGCCGCCGCCTCCCTCGCTGCAGCTGCCGCCGCGCCGCTGGGGCGTTGCCGAATGAATGGCCGAACGAGCCGCCGAGCCCTCGGGGTCCCAGGCCTCCTGGTCTCTCTTCCTCCGGCCGTCGGGCCGCGCCCCTGCGCCCAGCGTCCCCCTTCCCCACCCCCCGCGGGACCCGGGCCTCCTGCGGAAGAGGGGCGCGGGGATGGGGTGAGCCCCGGGCAGGAGGCGGTGAGTGGTGTGGGGGGCGGGGAGGTGACTGGCTGGGGTAGGGTTTCTCCATATGCATTACATATGTGACTGCGTCTGTGTGTGTATCACCGTGTGCGGCTGAGCGCACGCGCGCGCGCTCGTGCCTCCCGGGCGGGCGGCGGCGCCGGGGCTGTGACCCTAGAGGAGTCCGCCTGGTTCTCTGTGGGCGCTCACCTCCGTGGCGTGTGTCCGTGTGTCCCGGCCCCTCTCTGCTTGTGCCGGGTGTCTCTGGGTCCCGCGTGTGCGTGTGCGCGGCTCGCCGGTCTGTAGGCGGCTGGCATGTTTCTGGGTCTGCGGGCCCCTGGGGGTCTGCCCCGGGTGCGTGTTCGGTGTAACTGGGCTTGTATGCCAAAACCTGTGGAGCTGGCTGCCTTCTACGGGGACTCAGGAAAATTAGTGGGAGGCTCGCAAAAGCGGTGCCGTCTCTCTTTTTGTTGGCAGTTGACTCTGGGGGAGGGGGGCGGGGAAGAAAAAAAAAAAAAAAACAAAACACCTTCTTTTAAAGAACTGAAGTTTTCCAGCCTGGGATGTTCGGAGAAATCACACCGAAGTGACCTGAGGCTCCATATTTGTTTGGGGTTTTTTTTAGACCAGAAGTTTGGTTGTAAAGGGAGGGGATGATTCCATTTGGGGGTAACAATCTAGCCTTTCTCTTCATCCATGGATACCTAGGGTCTTCAGAAGCCCACAATTACCCACACTCTGTGGTGAGGGAGAGTGAAGTAGAGGTAGGTGAACCCCATAACACCAAATAGTACTGGATGAAAATCCCCGAACCGCGCGCGCGCGCGCGCACACACACACACACACACACACACACGTTTTTAAACCTTGTGGCTTACTAATTTAGGGAAATAGTGCATGCAATTCCGGTGCAAAAAAAAAAAGCCTCTAGGTATTTGGTGTAATTGAAATTGATTTGTTTTTGTTTTCAAAATCTGAATCTAGACTCTGGTAGTATTTTCTCTACAGGATATATATGAATTTATTCCACCCTCTTGTCCCTGTCTAGAAGGGTAGGATGATTGCTTTTGAACCTCCCCAACCCCTGCAGACCCCAGCACCAGCTCTTTATGCAGTCATGATGTGGAAGGGCTAGGAGTAGATAGACAAGGCTCTGTGATAATGGAATTTGAGAGAATTCTCTTCTCTCTAAGATTGGCACTGTCATATTTATTGCTGTGGCATTTTGAAGGTTCCCAGAGTGTTTTTCTGCTCCCTGTTACCTGCATTTTAGAAATGGCATGCCTTAAGTAGAGGGATTAGTCTCCTGGATTATACTTTCTCCATCTTTAGTGACCAAAAAGGATGCTAATGATTTTTTCTTGTCAGCTAATTAATTTGCATCGACCTGTCCTTGCTCTGTCACCAGTCCCCCTTGCCTGGATTAGGATTGCTGCTGTAATGGGGAACATTCCAGAAGGTTGTGTTTCACCTCAGGCGGACTGAGGCAACCCAGAGGTCCCCTTTGTTTGGCAGATGGGGGGTGGGGGTGATTTAGGGCCATTTGGTTTGCTTTGCATGGCTCCAGTTTGCTCTGGCTGGCCTTGCCCATACTGTATGATGAAGAACATAATTGTATGCCAGATTCTGAAGCTCAAAGAGCAGCCCAAGCACTTGAGACCTTGTTATCAGGATAAATGGGTTTCTGGGAAAACTGACGTCACTCTCCCTGCCCCCCTCCCCCAGTCTGTAAAGCTCTTATTTATGTGTCATTTGTCTCTCTGCTCTCCTTTGTGTCTGCAAGAAGTTGTAATTCACCAGGGGAAGATGGAATTAACTCAGGAGACCTTGGATGTCTGGTTGCTGCTTGTTTCTTCCAAAGAACACGTATCCAGGGTTTGGGAAGAGAAGCCTGGAGAATCAGCCTAAGTGTGCCTAGCGTAGGAGTTCTTTTGGAGGAGCTCTGAGACATGGTGCCATCCGAGCAGTGCTCTGGTGTGTGCGTGGGGTGGGTATTCTTTCCAGAATCAGTTGAAGGTCACCGTGGCTAGTAAGGTAACATCATTAGTGACTTAAAACAGGCCATGGAGTTGTGGGATAGGACCCTTATTTGGACATGCATGTCGCTTGGAAGTTCAGCTCTTGCGTACTCAATACAATCCCATCCCATCTGAATGAACACTGTGAAGATTCTGTATGGCAAAACTATTTCTCCGTCGTCCACTCACTGACTTTTGACTGATAAGTGTCCAGCAGTATGGCTAAACCTGGTCAACTCGACAAAAAAAAAAAAAAATGTTAGTAGACATAGTTCCCGGCTTTTAAGCTTATGGTCTAGTTGGGGAGACAGATTGTGGACACTGTGAAATAATTTGAGAACTATAGAAGATTCTTGGGATGTCCCCACTCCCAGCCCCTGCCTGTGAGGTGGCTTGGGCTGCTGTTAATATATACTCTTTGAGGTTACATGACTTGTCCAAGGTCACCTAGCAAGGCACAGCCCAGACCTCAGGGGCTGCTTCTTCTGGCTTTTTCATTGAGCTGTTTCTTTCAGTGTTGCATTTTGGAGTCCAGACCTAAGTGCTGGCCCATAGAAGGAATGGCTCGTTGATTCGGGCTTGAACCAGTACCCCAATGTGGACAGTGATGCTCTCCCCCGGTGGCAGCCAGGTAACAGTCTTTCTCCTTGATGAAAGATCTTGCGGGGGTGGGGGGGCACCTGGGTGGCTCAGTCAGTTAAGCGACTGCCTCCGGCTCAGGTCATGATCCCAGAGTCCCAGGATCGAGTCCCACATCGGGCTCCCTGCTCAGCAGGGAGTCGGCTTCTCCCTCTGATCCTCCCTGCTCTCATGCTCTCTCACTTTCTCTCTCTCTCTCAAATAAATAAATAAGATCTTTAAAAAAAATTTATATTAAAGAAAAAAAAAAGAAAGATCTTGCGGGGACCAACTCTGCCCTACCTGGGGTTGGTCTGGGGTAGGTATCTCAGGGCAACTGCCTACAGGCTGGGAGAAGCCTGCCTCTGCATTCTGGTCTTGCTACCAAATGGCACCTACCCTCGATTCCCCTGGAAGCTCCCTGCCTCAGCCATCGGTACCACCTCACACTAAAAGTAATATTCTAGCCCAAACAGGGAGAGCACAACCCCAGTGTGTACCCATACCTCCACTGAGGATACAACACAGAAGAAAATTTACATGGCTGGGGTGCCTGGGTGGCTCAGTCTTTTGAGCGGCTGACTCTTGATTTCAGCTCAGGTCGTGATCTCAGGGTCGTGGCATCAAGCCCCGCATTGGGGTGGGCCCCCCCCCCTCCGTGCTCAGCGGGGAGTCTGCTTGAGATTCTCTCTCTGCCTCCGCCCTTTCCCTACCTCTGCTCGCACGCACGTGCACTCTCTCAAATAAATAAATGAACCTTTAAACATAAAAAGAAAATTCACATGGCCCCAAATATTAAAAAATTATTGAATCTAAACCAAGGGTCCATTGGTGATCATGGTACCGTTTTCTAACTTTTCTGTGTGTTTGAGACTTTTCCAAAGAAAAATTGGGGGGTGGGGAACGACAATGTCCCCTCACCCCCACCATCAAATGCTTACGGGCCCCTTCCCTCGAGGAGTTTACGATCTAGTAGTGGAGGCAGACTTAAATAACTATATAATTATCATTGTGATCAGTGCTGCGCAGCAGAGCTGCTTCCTGCTATAAGAATTCATTACAAGCGAACCCAATCCAGCCTCCAGTGGGGGCGGTGGGTGACAGGAAAGACCTCCTGAGGGCTTCTGCTAAGAAAGGGGGTGGGTGTGAAGATGGGGGAGCTCTCACTCTGCCCCTGGGCTGGGAACATTTCATTTGTTAATTCACACACTTCTATTCTCATTCATTCCTTCAACGCGTGTTGATTGGGCACCAGTTCTGCCAGGCCCTGTGCCAGGTGCTGGGGATGTGGTGGTGCCAAGGCACACAGGACCGTGCCCTCTGAGAGCTTCCAGATGACAGGCAGGAATCAGCCCCGTTTCCTTTCATTTCCTAAATCCTGGAAATGTTGAGAGTTAGCAGTGTTCTTATTACAAAACTGCATTACAGCTGAGCGATTTGTCTGTATAGGATAATGAGATTTTGATCTGCAGTCATGTGCATAGCATTTACCTTGCGGAGTCTCTGCTGTAAATTTTCTGTTAATTGCTGGCTTTGTTACCGAGCACGGCCCCTCCCTTTGTGTGCTGTAAGGGAACGAACCCGTTGCATGAGTCTGAACAAAACTAATTAGGAAGATAAGCCCCTGGAAAAAGGTATTCCAAAACTAAATAGGA